GCCACGGCCCACTGTGAGCTGTGAGCGCTCCCAGTGGAAAGGGACTGTGCCAGCCTCTTTGGAAGGGACGACCCAAGCATATGGGCAAGCGCGTCGAGGTCCTGTTCGAAAGCGGACGCATCCTCTGGCAATTCCCGCCACTCTCCGATATCTATGTGAGGGATGTCCTGGGCTTGCGGCTTACGTATGCTGGAGCGATCAGAGTGTGACGCTGTGAAGTGCTCCTCTGCTAGTTTAGTCTTCGGCTGTGTCCCGACCTGCGTCTGGTCTGGCTGTTCAAGTTCATTTACCCCATCCAAGGTTCTGCAATCGACAAGTAACACATTCAAAACGGAGAGAACGACAAAACTGAAGTGGATTCACGATTCATACTTCGGTTATATTTTGATTTTAGCACATTTGTTTGAACCCACCCCTCACAATTTCTTCAGGCAAAGTGAAGGTAGTCAAGGATCGAATTAGTCTTTAACCAAAAGGCTGCACCGGGGGGATTTTAGCCATGACACTCTCTTGGACTGCGCGCTCACGATTGGTCTATGCACCCACAGACACACACGCACACACACATACATATACACGCACACCCACACACCCACAGACACACACACACGCAGACACACATACATACGCACAGCCAAACACAGACACATACACACATACAGACACACACACACACACACACACACACACACACAAACACACACACACACAGACAGACGCAGACAGACACAGACACATACACACATACAGACAGACACACACACGCACATACATACACACACTCTCACACACACACGCACACACACATACGCACACACACCAATGAACCATCCATTTATCGATTACGATGATCGATAAGTTCAGCAACTTCAGAAAATAAATTTCGAATGGAACTGTGTCAAGTTTGAATCGTTGAATTGCTGGACGGACTTTTACATATCCATGTTAAGGTATATGCATACATCAAACCAATGAAAACTCACGTTTGTTCTGGGAATGTCTTTTCGATGCCTTCAAACACCATCATATTCGATTCCTTTCTCCGCATGCGATTCCATCGCACCATGAATCCGGTGAAGGCAAGGACCGCGCAGCCAGCGATAATCAGGGGGAGGAAAAGAAATGCAATGCTATCCTTGTCAGTATTGTCATCACCATCATTGCCACCATTCCGGTCCTTGTGTTTGTGGGCGCCCACCCTATCAAATTGTGCGGATGAGTTGGAGTTATTGGGAGAAACGGTCGTGACGCTTAAGTTGCCTCCGCTGGCACTCTTGTTGTCCCATATCTCAGTCTCATCTTGAGGATTTGAAGCAGCAATCATCTTATCACTTTGGTTCTTTGCACTGTTGATATTGCTCGTCGGTGCATCGCTCTTGATCTCAGGATTAGAGGAACCAGTATATGATCGAGTTGATCTTTCTCTTTGTATGATTGTGCTAGAACCAGGTGTGGTGTTATGGTTGTACTGGCTGGTGGTCTTGTCAACCGATGCCTAGCTAACTACCAAAATAGAACTTTGAAGTCGCCCACATACTAAATGCCATAGCTGAGCATGTGCATCGAGTGTATGGTCTAAAGGTTTTCACAACTAGCTCCAATGCGGCAGATACGTGTCTTACATTACTTGATTGCAACATCTTCAGAACATAGTAGTAGAGCTTTGGATCAAGTTTAGACAGTTTCTACCAAAGCAAACTACCAAAATAGAACTTTGGATGGGGCCCCCCTATAGACCATGCCTTGCCCCCTTACGCCCCCCTACTTTATTTTGTCAAATGGTCTATTCGGTGCTTTTTTGGTAAGCTTCATGCTTGTTTGGTATATGGATAAAGAAATGGAGCAGAATTCGAGGAATTGCCCGCAATAAGGTTTGTATGGTTCAGCCAATTTCACTGCTTTTCGAGCAGAATCTGCCAATGCCTATTGGAGTACCAGTAACAGCCCTGGTAGCCATCGGTATTGGGGCACGTCATCATGCCAAAAGTACAAAAATCCTTCGACTTTTTGTTCGTTTAGAAAACGTACGTGAACTACACAACGTGTGTGGCCCTAAACATTCAAAGATCAATTGGTGGGGAAGCTAAGCGAATGTTAACCATGCAGAACCGAACGCCTCAGTTAATCAGTGCTGTACTTCGGCGATGACAATTAAGATGGACAATAGGCAGCTGTAGCAATCAGCAGATTCACACGACGATCGTTTCGGTTCTACTTCTTACTGCCCATTAGCTCGTCAGTGTGTGCAATGTTATCGCATGAGCTGATTGTTAAGTAACTGGTGGTGGTGGTTCACATAAGGCCATGGTAAAAAATAAAGTTGATTCTCAGGTCATGAGCCTGTGAAAATCGGTGCGAGCGAGCGATTTTTTTATTTTATTTCTCACAATTTTTTTATTTCCAAAGATAGGGTCACATAATTATTATGTACATGGTCACATGTTCATATATTCAGGCCAGGGAGTAGAAAAATACCGGTATTTTACTACTCCCTGATTCGTTCCTTTGACCGTTTTCACGCGCGCATATGCATGCATAGAATTAATTAACAACATTCGTCGGCGGGCCGCCAAAAATCGGTGCGCGCGTACTTGAGAATCAAAGTTAATTTTTGCCATGGCCTAATAGCGGAACTTGTAGTTCCTTGGTACTTTTCATTATTATAAACTAATCAGTGGCTCTTCATCCGAATCTAATCGCAACAAATACTTTCGCTTTTTTTCGTTATGTGCCCTACAATCGTCGTTTCACGTTATGCTCCGATTCATGCCAACATAAATTATAGGAAATTCATAGAGTCAAATTAGTTCTCATTGTGGTTGTATTGATGCTGTTGTCTCCACAACGTTTGCTTACTAATATAATACCACTGAATTTACAACTTAGCCAGTAATTTCGCATTCCACTCTCCATTGCTAATAAAGTTATTAATGCGATTAATAGTATAAGTGAAGCGGACATTACAAAATGATGAATGAGAATATATGTATCTAAAATGGTTGTTCCTAATCGATTTTCTTGAGACTATAATAATAATATTCGCGGGATCCGCGTCGGCATCGCTTGAATGTTCAGAAACACACAAACTAGCCTTCGCATCCGCAGGCCACCACTATGCCTATTAACCTTAGTGGCGAATGCAGACCTCACAAGTGAGTCAGGGGAGAGGAGGTTAGTCTCTCAACCAATCGGGCGTGTAACGGCCCATAACACTGTAAACTGCATCCTTGTTATTCTCACTCCGAGCTGTGAGTACCCAGTTGACCGTGGGTGTCGGCGCAGTTCAGCACGCGTAAAAAGTCTTTTTACACGCTCCCTGCTACCAGCGCGGGTCTTGAACTCGGGACCTCATGATTCGCAGGCAGGCCTGCAAACCAATCGGCCATATGCGTTGGTCTTGAGACTATCATCAGGGAAAAATCGTCTCACAATAGAGGCTATACGGAGAAACAAACTACTTATAGGATAGTGGGAAGCATACAAGGTGAGGTGTGAAAAAAAATAAAGTGGGAGAGAAGACAAAAGAAATTAGAAGAAAAGATGTGAGAGTGTTCCGACGGTGTGAGCTACTACAAAAGGTGAGTGAAATGAAGGCGTGGAAGCAGGTGAATGTGATAGAGTGAGGAAGTGCGAGGTGCAGGTAACTACTTATCCTATAACCTATAAGTAGTTTGTTTCTCCGTATAGCCTCTATTGTGAGAGGATTTTTCCCTGATGATGGTCTCAAGAAAATAGATTAGGAACAACCATTTTAGATACATGTATTCTCATTCATCATTTTGTAATGTCCGCTTCACTTATACTATTAATCGCATTAATAGAGTTGTCTCCTCGTCGCCTTTTCATTTGCTAATAAAGTTCTTCTTATTATTCATTTAACTGGTTTCAGGGAAAGACACAAACGGGAAAAGTCTGAAGAAAAAAGTTACTGTCACCAGCAGAACCACCAGAAAATTTGTGTCTTTCCCTCAAACCAGTGATTATTGAAAATCGTAAACTTTCAGATCTCCAACTACTTTCAGGAAACACCTTATTCTTTTGGGCTTATCTGTCATGTCTGTTACACAAGAGAGCGATTGGAAGCTTTGTTCCAACTCTGAGTTTCACGTATTACTACGATCACCAGGACAGTGGACAGTGAAGCACACCACTTGACTATGCCATGTCTGTTACCAAACTGGGCAAGGGCGGTTTGGTGGCAGAATCTCATCTTTTTTCATGGTCCCACTACTCTTCACACCTTGTTTTCAGGCACATTGGGACTTTTTGTGTGTGTGTGTTGCACACTTGCGAGTGTGGGTGTGATTCTGAGAGCGAGCATGTGTGCGTGTCAGTGTTAACAAAAGTGTTAAAAAATCAAAAACAAAAGCTGCAATTTGTAGACAAACGTGTTGAACACATCAGGGAGCACTTGTCACACTTTCACGAGGTGTTATCGTTGCAGTTGGTTGGTGTCACACCTCGTGAAAGTGTGACAAGTGTTCCCTGATGTGTTCAACGTGTTTGTCTACAACTTGCAGCTTTTTGTTTTTGAGGTTTTAACTCTTTAACCATTTTATAGCCTATCTTGAAGTGTTGACTTTTTCTTTCTTTTCTATAATAATTATTATAGTTATGTGTTTTTCCAAATTTCCAACATTCCGTGTACTATCCTGTGGAGAAGGGAAAGAATACGTTTGATAGAAGGAAGTGTCTACTGAATTGTGTGGATTTGCGTCTTGCTTGCGAAGGTACCGATTGCGAATGTGTTTTTTTCACTGCCTCCAAACTACCGCATGAATTAATGTTGTTGAAGGCAATTTAACGAAGCACCACAAACAGTCGGTTTCGCATCCATTGATACGAGTACATGTGAACGACAGAAGGTGAGGGAGATGCAGTGTGTGTGTGTGTATGTGTGTTTATGTGTGTGTGTGTGTGTGTGCGCGCGCGTGTGTGTGTGTGTGTGTGTGTGTGTGAGAGAGATAGAGATAGAGACCGAGGAGAGAGAGATTGAGAGAGAGAGCTAGGGAAAAAGGGATACATAAATACAGAGAGAGGAAAGTAGGACAATACCAGCGGGCGAATGAACCTCAGCACTACGCTGAAGCAAAAGCGAAATAAATTGTACAAAATGAATGACACCAATTGTATAAATATTGTGAACCCCGCTTCCTAACTATTCTTTAGTCCGTGATACCGGAGAAACACACTAGCTGGGCACAAACCATAGAAGAGAGCAGAGTTTCTGTGCTTAGTTAGTGATTTTACTACTAAACGTTCGGCGGACATTCCACGTTAAAGTTAAGGTTTTATTTTAGACCACGGCTTAAAGTTGCCTGTGCACGCTGTGCGGATTTTTCGCGACTGGCCGAGGCTGCGGCAGCAGCTGCCAGCTGGTAGGGAGTCAGGGGTTCGTACTCCTTGTCGTCAATCTCCGTGACCAGATCTGACTGTACAGGTAGGCTCAGGGCGACCTGGGCTTCTCCCCGCTTATCGACTTGCCCGACGAGCTCTGATTGGCGGCGTTCGATTCCGGATGCCCTGCTCATTCGTGGTCGGTCGAAGCCAGCTGTTCGGGTCACGGTACCGTAGCTACTCATACTTGCCTGGCATTCTACTTCATCATAGCCGACAGTATCGGCGGAAAAGGACGGCTCAACGTTACCCCTGGGTTCCAATGCCTGATCCAGGCCAGTTGCAGCGTGGGCAGACTGTTTCTTGGATCCCTTCTTCTTCTTCTTGGACGGACTCCTCGGAACCTCGTCCGCCATCACATCGTCGTAGAAGGACTCGGTTTGCGAAATGGCATCCACCGTGAAGGTCTGGTAGCTGTTAGGAGCTAGGTCCTGGGATTGGTTCAGTGTTGTGGTGGGAGAATTGAAGCTAGCCGTGCTTCGGAAGCTGTCGCCACGAGCAATGCTACTGACCGCACCCTTGAGATATCCGGCGACTGTGTCTTGCATACTGTCTGCTACAAACGTATGGGCGCTGTGAACGCTGGCGTTTGAATTCGACTTGGACAGGCCTCTTGATCCAAGCATGCGCTGTTTGACCGGCAGTGTGTGCAAGCCCTGGTGGGTCCCAGCCCTATGGGCCAGGGCCTGTGTGAGATCTGCCACACTGAAACACTGCGGTTGGGATTTGTGCCCACTTGCACCATGTTGCTCAAGGTGTAAGCGCTTGCCAATCTCGGCAGCAGAAGGTTGACTGACGGACATACCAGTGCTGCTGATAGGCAAAGCGCATCCATGGTCCCGACCGGAAAGCTGCAACTCATCTGCCACGGACCACTGTGAGCCATAAGCGCTCCCAGTGGAATGGGACTGTGCCAGCCTGGGTGGAAGGGGCGACCCGAGCATATGGGCAAGCGCGTCGATGTCCTGTTCCATAACGGACACATCCTCTGGCAAGAACACTGGCAATTGTCCCACCTGTATATGAGGGACTTCCTGGGCGTGCGGGTTACTTGTGCTAGAGCGATCAGATTGTGGCGCTGTGATGTGCTCGTCTGCTAGTTCACTCTTCGGCTGTTCCTGGTCCTGTGTCTGGTCTGCCTCTTCCGCTTTGTTCATTTCATCCAAGTTTCTGCAGTTGACAAGTCACGCATTTGGAATGAAGAGAACAACACAACTGAAATGGATGCCACGATGCGTACCCCGGTTATACTTTCATCTAGCATATTAGTTTGAACACAGCCCTCACTACACCTTCAAGCAAGGTATTCAAGCATCGCATCAGTGTTTCAACGAAAGGCTCTACGGGTGGAACTTTCGCCCTACACCTCTTGACTTGCCAGGGCTGTGCCCTTACTTTCAAAGACACAGACACAGAGAGGCACATGGACAAACACACACACACACAGTCACAGACACACACACACACACACAGTCACACACACACAGACATACAGACACACACACACTTGCACATGCTCACTACCAAATCTGGTTACTCAGGTGTCCCCAGGAGAGGAGACAGTGTGTGGGAGAGAGAGAGAGGAAGGGAGAAAGAGAAAGGGAGAGAAAGAGTGAGAGAGATTCGAAAGGAATGTTGGAAACATGGCTCAATTGGATAGTGAACCATCGAAATTCTCTCCCTTTGGGTACATTTTGAAAGGTTCCTACTTAAGGGCTCACAAGCCCTCAGCAAGAAGGGAAGATAAGGAGCAGAAAGCGTATTCAGGTTATCCGCCCCGGGATCCAGCTGCATTGACCACTGCCTCCAGTGAAGGTAATACTTGCTACTAGCGTGTGTGGATCTCATGACCTCAACTAGAACCATTGACTTCAACAAGAGGTAACCTAGCCCAACACAGTCCATGGTTAATAGGTCTGAGCACTTCAAAGAGAAAGTACTTCTTGAAGCACCCTGAAACCAATAACGTTGACATGTACAACATTACACCTTCAAGTAGCTGAGCCCTTTGGCAACAAATCCAAAAATATCTAGTATTAGTGCACTCCAATTTCAGAAATGTTAGGTGCTCAGTATTAATTTTTCCGAATGATGTCAAAAGAACAGGTTAGGTGAACAGAACATTTAGGTACAGAGTAAGAGTTCCCAGTCCCCAGTCTCCTGATGATTGCGTTTCAGCATGAAACTCGTGAGTAGAGACATTTAATCACTTTTTTTGTTCCACCGGATTTTCGTGAGTAACAGTTCCCCATTGGATTATGTGTAATATTGTTTGTTCGGTGAATAATTTTTTTAGGTGTGCAACAGATGGACCGAAAATACCCAAAATAAAAGTGCAGCGAAAATGTGTGAAGTTACGGTATCCACACAGCAGACGAGAAGATGCCGTGCGTTGAATATGCATGTGCTGGAACACAGTTTTCCTAGAATCAAGCACACCTGAACCTTTTCAAATACTGCAGGGTATTGCCACCTGTCCACTAACGACCAGCTCAAATGGGTCATTTTTACCGAAAACACACAGCATCTAAAAAGTTCGTCACTCGGGCATCCATTCTCCAATGTACTAGATCTAGACCTTCCTGGAAAGCAGCTGCAACGAGAATAACGACGAGCTAAAGCACAAGTCTCCACAAGGTCGAAGACCAGCTATAAAGCTAAGCGTTTCTATCCCAAAAGTCATGGCTTCGCAACGGAAGTCAAAGAAACTGAACTTTCACCCGCCATTCCACTGTCCTTGCTCATATTGATCAATTTTTTCTTCTGAACACTCCCGTGAGTCCACTGATCAATCTGAACTACAGTTGTCATGGCACCAACGGTGAAAAATGCTTAAAAAATGAAAATCAAGCGCCCGTGCGCGCCACAAAACAAGTTGTGGCCGTGTAAAGCTGTGAGGCCGTCGAGCGCAATACGTCCGCGGTCCTTTGGCCTATCGCTTCGGCATTTATTGCTATCGGAACCTGAGAGTTTTTTTTCTCGATCTAAATACTTGGATTAGCTGAGTTATGATTGTTTGAACAAACACACCTCCTGAAGTTTTTCATCAGTATGCGATTCACAACAAGGACATAAATATACGTCCTTAGTGGACCTGCCTCATTCTTAAGGACGTAAATATACGTCCGTAGTGGACCTGCCTCTTTCTCAAGCATATAAATATACGCTCTTAGTTCACGGACAAAAATTTCGCAACCCGCACAAGCTTTTGAAACTAAATAGTTGAATTCAACGCTAGTACAACTTCCCCAATGCTCCAGGTTTGTTCCAGGGACATCCCTGGACGAAGCAGAGCATCAAGAGAGCCTCGATAAAGCATTCTAATGAAAATATTTCCTGAAGAGATGTGTGTTAAAAACTCCGCAAAATCGAAAAATGGTATATATTTCTAGGCACAGTACGGCAAGATTATACCCAATTACCCGCCAAGGAATGGGTTTTTTCACTCCATACACATGTGAGAAGGTGTAGAAAAAGTAAAACTGAACAATCTTCGGATCGAGTTTTTTCCTATTGAGCTACTAACTAACTATCTATCCATGACCATAGCACTTTTTTTACTGCTTACCACCTAGTTTTAGTCGTGGATAGTCACTTCATAACTCATTCCCGTTGCTTTTCTTCTAGATTACCTACATATACTAGTACCGTCCTTTTTTTACTGCCATGACTGACCATGTGGCCCTGGCAGGGCCAAACCCGGAGACGTGCTTTCCACCGTGTGTGGCGTATCAGTTTCATTGTGCATATGCATACACATAGTTGAAGTACACGCGTACACGCGTTCACACATGACATGGACATACACTTACACAAACATACACACAGACACACAGACAAAAACATACTAATAATATACGCACGTAAACACATCTACACACACACACACACACACATAGAAACACAGTCCCACACAAAGAAACCCGCTCACAGACACACACACGAATAAACGCACACACAAAACCTGGACCATACATTTATCGATTACGCCTGAACGATAAATTCCAAACAAGCCTTATCTGCATCCTGATAAACTACATGCATGCATCAAACCGAAGAAAACTCACTTGGGATTTTGGAATGCGTCTTCGAAGTTTTCCAATTCCATCTTGTAAGCTTCTTCTCTCCGCAAGCGATTCCGTCGCACCATGAATCCGATGAAAGCAAGGACCGCGCAGCCAGCAAAAATCAGCGGTGAGAAAAGAAGCACAATGCTGTCGTTGTCATCATCACCATTGCCATCACCATTGGCGCCCTTTCTGCGAGAACTTTCAGTGATAAATCGTGCGGACGATTTGGAGGTTGTCAGCGCAGCGAACGAGACATTGGAGTTGTCTCCGTTGGCGCTCTCGTCGTCCAATGTGTCATTCTCATCATGAGGATTCAAGGCCATTGGGACAATAAGCGCAACACTTTGGTTCTTTGTGCTATTGGTCTTGTTTATCGGTGCATCACTCTTGATCTCAGGAGGGATACTAGAAACGGGTGCACCGTTAGTGTTGTATCTGCTGGTACTCTTGTCTACTGATGATCCAGTCTTGTCCTGAGGATTTAAGGCTATTGAAGGAAAGGCGACTCCTTGGCTATTTAAACTTTTGATCTTCGTCATCGGTGTGTCCCTCTTGTTTTCGGGATTAGACGAACCGCTATATAAAGCAGCCGGACCTTCACCTTCAGTCTTGGGACTAGGCATGCGTGTTGCATTAGAGTTGTGCCTGCTGGTATTTTTGACACCGGATGTTTCAGTCTTTTCTTGAGGACTTGTGGCGATTGGAGCATTGGTGCTAACACTTTGGCTCTGTGCACCATTGCCCTTTCCTGTCGGGGTATTCCACTTCTTATCGGGATTAGTGGAACCACTATTTGAAGTAGGCAAACCTTCACCTTGCAGGGTGGTACCAGAAACCGGTTTGGCATTCGAGTTTTTCCCACTGGTACTTTTGTCGTCTGATGCCCCAGTCTCGTCGACAGGACTGGCGGCGATTGCAGCTTTGGTTTTAACATTGTGGCTCTGTGTACCATTGTTCTCTTCTGTCGGCGTATGGCTCTTTGTCTCAGGATCGCTGGGACCGCTATCTGATTCAGCCGAACTGTCCCCTCGTGTAGTAGGTCTGCCAGCAGTGTTTCCTAGATTTTTGCGGGCGGTTGTTGCTGGCGTGGTGGTTGGAATGGTTGTAGGGGGCACTGCAATGAACAGAGAGAACAACAGACAAGACTTGTATGCCTCGATCTATTTCCTTAGCCTATCCTCGATTAACTGCTCCCTCTACATAAAGTAGTCATTACAATCTTCTTGCAGGAGATCCCCTCGACAGGCCCAAAGCCTTTGGGAAATGCTTAAATTTAATAAAATACAAAATACAATACAAGAATAAAAGACAGACAGTTCTCCAGCAGGTATTGGTGCTCCACTAGTCCAAGCCGCTAATCAGCTAGTGCTTCGGACATCTTAACTACAAGGACAAGTACTGCAACTGGGAGTCATATTCCTGCTATTAAACCCAAAGTTATCCCCTTCTATGTAAGCATCCACTTGGATGGGGAGCCGAGGATAAATTGACAGAAAAGAGAAAGCACCAAGGAACTACAAGTTACGCTATAATGTCCACTACCACGACCAGTCACTAAACAATCAGCTCATGCGGTAACATTGCACGACTCTGACCGACGGTGCTGACGTTTTACAACTAACTGCCTAACAACTCTAGCACATCTGAGATGCGCACTCCCACAGCCTGCCAACTTGGAAGGTTCTAAGTTATATGCTTACATAGAAGGGGGAGGTATTGTCCACTGGTCTTGCCAGTATCGTCATCAGCCTTCCAACTTGGAAGGTTCTAAGTTATGGAAATAACATAAGGAGGGGAAGGTGAGCGCAACCAAGATAAGCACGAGCTGAAAGTCTTAACTGCGTAGGACATTGGCGGATGTTAGTGTATGTCGATGATGATGCTGGCAAGACCGTTGGACATTGGGTGGGGGGGGGGGGGGAGGACATCCAAGATGTGCTAGAGCTCTTAGCCAGTTAGTTGTAGAACGTCAGTACTGTCGGTCAGTACTGTCGGTCAGTGTCGTGCAATGTTATCGCATGAGCTGATTGTTTAGTAACTGGTGGTGTTAGTGGACATTGTAGCGTAACTTGTAGTTCTTTGGACCTTTTCCTCTATAAAAAGGGCAAGCTTCCATATTGAAGACTGAAATGGGTTCGCTATGGCGATGTGAATTCTCTAGGATTGCCAAGAAAGCAGGAAAGGGGTCCAGTATTACACCCTTTTCAATGCACACAAACACAGCTTTGTACTCACGGGCCTCGCAGAAAGGGACTGAGGTGAGGGTTCCATCAGCTTGGCATCTTGCCGTTGAACTTCCCATGAGCACGTGCTTCTCATCGCACGAATAGGTTACACTATGTGTAAATTTGACGGATGTCTTGTCGGCTGTTCCATTAGCAATAGCAGGCACATCGCAGTATACAACTGGAAACAAAACAGGAAAGATAGTTTTGTTGTCGGGACGCAAACTAGCCCAAGGATATGGATCCGCACTAGGCATTTTGATAAAGCCAGCGGGGTGGAAATATCATGACTTTAACCCCTCGCCATTCCTCCCCCTTGTACTTATTGTCCACGTTCAAACATACTTAGTTAAAGTGGCAAGAATCCAAGTGGAAAACTAGTCCTTTAACCCTTTGCCGGTCTAACTCAATGTATGTGAGGGGTGGTCACGCAAATACATGTACACACAACCAGCAATAACTCAAGAACCATGTGATGTAGGTATGGGTAAACCATATATTTTCAAAATCAGTATGCCTGAACGCCTCCAGAAAATTCAAATATGACTAGGTCCAGGCAAGGGTAGGGCCCATGGTAGCCCTTCAAGTTGAGAGAAAATACAATTGCGAATGAAATACACGAACATCACAGCACGAAGGGCATACCAAGTTCGTGATGGAGCTGAAGTCGTACGATAAACAATCAGGTAAGGGCTACGTCTTTACAAGAAATGCAGGCTCTCTACAATACCGCCATTGAGCACCAACACCTCGCCATCGGCGATACGCCAGCAGCAGCAATTCCCATTCCACGATATCGCAGCTTCGGTTTGTTCATCTCAGGGCTGCTCGCGTCAGATTCACTCTCACTCAGATGAGCACTCAGGCGCGAGCTTACGCATGCCGTGATTCTCACGGCCAGGCGAATCAGCTGATCGCACCTGACGTGTCCTTGTGACAGTCGCTGTCGCCGTGTCGGCAGCAAGAAGGCTTCCTCTCTGTTTGGAGAATGTTATTTCTTCATTCGTGGACGATATATTTTTGAACTAGCAGGACTCAACGGAGCTCTTTTTCTCAACACACTACACTGTAAAACCTCCCGGGAGATCCAGCCTGGACTGGTGGTGTTACTGCTCTCAGAACGCTTGTCAAACACGGCCCCAAGAGATGCACTCGCATTCTCGAAATACACGCATGGCGGATGGTCGTCTTTTCCAATTTCAACAAACTTCAGTCGATCGATACGGCAAAAATTTGTATGGTAAGCATGGTTGTTTTGTACATCGTCATAAAGCCTTGGACCTCAGCTACGCGTAGAGCGCCTGTTTAGCTGTCTCCTAGCAACAAGACCCCAAAAAAATGAGAGCCAAACGTACCCATACTATAGTATCGGTTCGCTTATGGTAGACCGGTAAAGGGTTAAGCATTATTTTGCACAGGTTGGGAGTGGAAATATTATGACTTTAACCCCTCGCGGAACAAACGACAGCCGCTAACAACCGGTAAACCCTAAACAGCAATACAAGGTCACCTGGCATCTGTGGCCTGATTACTCTGCTTCGTTAGTATTGTTCACAGCGGAGAGATAGGTGGCAACATTTTGACAAAATGGTTGTATCACCTAACAATTGCTATGTATACATACCCTGACATTTGTCAATTTGTGTGCTGGATGAGCACACTGGCTCACTATAAGTATATCCAAAATCACATGTGACAACACCGCCTGTTGATATGCTACGGATGTGATCTTGAACTTGAGCTGAATGATGACAAGCTGTGATTGAGGAAAAACAAAACAAAGTGCCAAAACTAGTTTGATCTTACGTGTAGAAGGCAGTAGGGGTTGATGGAGCATACCATGAAACTTCGCTACAACAGCAGTTATCCTTGAAAGCAAAATGCACTCAAGTTGCCTGAAAAAGATTCAGAGGAAAGCAAGGAGTGAACCAGACGGAACTCATCTGCCTATATTTGGTTGATAAAGCCTTCTGAAGAAGAGGTTTCGCTTGCGCAAACTGTGGACAACTTACGGAATTCGCACACGACGTATAGTGGCGTGTTCAAGTTGAAACTGGTGGACAAGCGGTCCCCTTCTTTCGGTGTGATATAAGCATAACTTCCAGGTGATCCGAATGGAGTATCACCAATCCAGGCTTGATAGAGACCATTGCGAGGAAAGAGTTCTGATGTGCAGCCATGAGAGTATGCAGCTGCGCTAAGTAGTTTACCACCCTGACCCTGACACACTGCCTTGGCCGTTGTGTAATTGAAGTACTTGTAGTCATGTGTCCGTTTCAGGACTGCTGAAACCTGAGAGCAATATTGGTGACCGGTCAGTGCAGCATCTGAACATATACATAAACAGAAGAGATCATTTAACTACTGCAGATCAAATACAGAAGTGTATATACCTACCGTATTTGGCAGGCTTGCATACAAGTGCATACCTCATGATTTTGGGGAACCTTATAACAGTGGCGAGGTGCTGCGCTGTGTGGTGAGTGAGTGGACGGAGTGAATGCCCCAGGGGCCTCTCGCGTTGCTACTTGCCGTGCTAGGCTGTGCCGTCTATCGAAGTCACACCTAGCCATCACTACATGACTGTACTCTTTTTTGTGCCGTGCAAGATATGTTAAGCAGTTCACTCTTTGTTTATTAAAAAATAAAAAATCCAATCTGAAAAGCAATGTCAATAAAGCCGCTCATAACGCTAAAAATCAAATCAATTCAGGAAAATTCAATTCAATTCAAAGTCGTGACACATCCGGTAAAAAACAGCAAGAAATAATATCTCGGTGCAAAAGAAGAAAAAAGGAAATAAAAGCCGCTTCATTTTAAAGGACCAAATGATGAAAAGCAAAGAAATACCCACATCAGCGCTAAATTGCACCTTAAATTATAAACAAAAACATGACGCGTCCATTAGCATTGAGGACACTGCCATTAGCGAGGTTATACACACCACTGTTACATCCGTCCCTCAGCCATGGCTAGTGGGCGCAATGCATTTACCGGTCGATGGTATGCAGAGCGAGCCCCTCTGATGCACATAACTGCAGCTCGGAGGAGTGCAAACGACAGACGGCATCTGACATAGGCCATAACCTCGCCGTAGGGCTTGCCATCATGCTGTGCCAGCATAGCGCATAATCGCTTCAAAAACCGCAAGCATTCTGGGGATGCACTGCCAGCCGTGGTGAAGACAAGCGGGGTAAAGTTACCACGGTCAACATTGACAATCCTTTCGTTATACTGCAGCTTCTTCTGCCTCTCGTGCTGGAGAAGGAGGTCAGCGATGGGCTTCTTTGCGTACGAGGCGGCGTCAGGATAACTGTACTCTCATTAACACCCTTTATATTACTAGTATCCTCAGTGTAGTCTATCAGTATCGCCTTTGCCTAGCCTTAATCTTCGCGCCTTAATCATCGCGCCTTAATCTTCACGCCCAAGATGGGCCATTATGTTTCCCCCTTTTTTGCTACAAAAGGGTGAAGTTCGCTATCTGTTAGCCATTCTACAGTCATCCTTCACTGATGAGATCCTTATGATCGAAACAGCCGCTGTCTGAAGGAACAGAGCACCAACTGAAGTGTCGTTTTGCCGATGGTGTGCTGTGGCAACGTGTTGAGGTCGGCCGGAGAGCGCAGCGATGTGGTGTGGGGGTTGATAAGAATCTGTGGTGTGGGGGTTGATAAGAATCTGTGGTGTGGGGGTTGATAAGAATCTGGACAAGACCGAATGCTGCAACTTGCCCCTCTTGGTTATAAGAATTGACTGATAAACGAGTTTTGATATTGTTGCTAAGTAAATTATGAACGAGCGAATCTGCTCTAGACACCTCTTCCTACTGTCAATCATTAATATACTTCCTCCGTTAACAAAAAATTCCTGATGGATTTTTAATGGACTGGTTAGGGCACAAACTGCAATGAAATGAGTCATGATAACTTCCTCGGCCTTCTGTGGCATGCCATGAAAGATATACGATGCAAGGAACGCGAACTTTCACAACACACTGAGCCGAATCGAGGGTTGAGCTGTGGCAACATAGGTGATGACAGCCATGATTGGCGAAACTGAAACTCGACTTCTCCGAGAACATAAAGCCCTGCATGGCCTCTCTAGCTCTAAGTTTTCTAGTGATAAGCCTACTTCACATTCGACAGGGCGTGATGGAACACAACATAAGGATCAACACACGCTTCCCATGATAGCTTAAAGAATGTCAAACACAATTTGAGGAGCAAGTTAAGATCTCATGTCACTTGTACTTCCTCCGCGTCATTGCAATTGTCGCTTCGCACATCGGAATGTTCATGTGACTTGGCTTGTCTTAGTCAGACTGTCGGTAATAACTGTTTTCTGTTTTTGAACATAGGTGCGACCCTTCCTGCGCACTGTATACTTGTTTCTGAAGCCCTGGTGGTCTCAGACTTTATCGGAGCTCTCTTCCGCACCAAACAAATTCATCGCGCTCCGCACTATTCTGCCCCAGACCGTGAATCGTTTTCCTGGAGTTCGTGCCGTCCCACATGGTTCGCGTGAGCATTTATCAGGATTCCCTCTGGCAATGTACATGTATGCCATTGGCATGATGCCTCTCGTGCACAAAGCAAAACAAGCCGGGACTATCCAGTCTTGGTTTGCAGATGACTCCGCAGCGGCGAGTGTGTTGTGTAGGCTCCGTCGTTGGTGGGACATCTTGGCAAGTGATGGCCCAGCTTATGGATATTTCCCAAATGCATCAAAGTCGATTCTGGTGGTGAAGGAGCGTTGCTATCGTGAGGCACTTGAGCTGTTCAGCGACACCAGTGTCGTCGTTACGTGTAATGGAGCCCGGTACCTGGGGGCAGCCATCGGCTCAGCTGATTTCAAGGAGAACTTTGTATCGACTAAGGTCCGGGAGTGGGCTGATGAGCTAACTCGGTTGGCTGATTTCGCTCGCTCGCAGCCCCAGGCAGCATATTATGCATATGTCTCGGGCTTGAGAAGTCGCTGGGCTTTCCTATGCCGCGTCCAGTCTATTTCTCCGTCCCAGTTCCAGCCACTGGAGGACGTGATAACCACGAAGCTTATACCAGCAATGGCGGGTCGGCCACCGCCTGGCACAGTGTAGAGGGAAGTACTAGCAATGCCCTGTCGTTTGGGTGGCCTGGGCCTGGTCAGCCCGATGACTTTGTGCGCCCAGTATGAGTCGTCTGTCGCCATCACAGCATCTCTCTCCCGGCGTATCATGGATCGTGTTTCTGATATTGGGAATTCTCTGATTGGCATC